CAAGCTGGGCTGCCACCCGTGTTCCTGACTCAGGCTGCCTCCAGGGTTCCCCATGGGGAGCCCTGCTGTCCCCCTGGGGTCTCCGCTCCCATCCAGGCTGCCACCCAGGCTCCTGGCTCCCCACTCCATTCTGGGCTGCCACCTGGGTTCTCAGCTCCCCACCAGGAGCACGGTACCTGACCAGATTCCGGGCACAGATCTCCCCACTGGGAGTCCAGTTTGCCCCCGCCCCCAGGGTTCTCCACTCCCAGCTGGGAATGAGAAAGCTACACCGGGTTTCTCAGCTCCCCACTGAGAACGGGGCAGCTACACTGAGCTTTTCAGCTCTCCACCAGAACAGGGCAACTGCACCGGGCTTCTTGGCTCCCTGCCAGGAATGGTGCAGCTGACTGGACACCAGAAATGGATCTCCCTGCTGGAACCCTGGCTGCCCTCAGCTGGGAGCTATGTGCCCAGCATCTGGTTTGTTGCTGTGCTCCTGGTGAGGAGTGGAGAGCCCAAGGGGGCAGCCAGTCTTTGGGCAGGGAGATCTGTGTGTGTCTGGTCAGCTGCCCCATTCACAGTGGGAAGCGGGGAGCTGGTGGGGAGCTACCCATGGAGCTGAGAACCCTGGTTTTCAGGCCCCCACACTGCCCCTCTTAAGTCAGTGGAAGCACTCCTAGTGAGGACGCATACCACCAACAGAAGAATGGCAATATGGACATGAACCACCGCAGTAATTACTGTACCTAACCTAGGTTGACTTAAGTTTATAGTGTAGACATGCTTGGCAGGTGGTGTATGTATGCATTCAGTGCAAAGAGCTCCTTGCCCTCAGACACTGTGTATGGGCTTTGGGGACCAGAGTAGCTGAACTGGAGGAGCTGAGGGAGACAAAGAGGTACATAGATGAGACTTTCCAGGACACATTAAACAGTCCCACCCCCGGTCTGACAGCCTCTGTGCTGTTGAGGAGGATGAAAGTCCCTGGGAAGGAGAGCATCTAACTGGAGCAGAGGGAAACAATCCCATAGTTGGGACTCTCCTTCCAGATGATGATATGGTATCCTCTCACACTGAGGATACCTCTCCGGGCGAGGGAACTCCAGCTATTAGAAAGAGACAGGTATTAGTAATGTGCGATTCAATCATTAAAAATATAGATAGCTGGGTTTGTGATGACCGGGAGAACCACATGGTGACTTGCCAGTCAGGTGCGAAGGTTGCGGATTTCTCGAGACATCCAGATAGACTTATGTGTAGTGCTGGAGAGGAGCCGGTGATGTAGGTATCAGTGACATAGGGAAGGATAGGAGAGAGGCCCTGGAGGCCAAATTTAGGCTGTTAGGTAAGAGACTGAAGGACCAGGACCTCCATGGTAGCATTCTCTGAGATGCTCCCAGTTTTATGTGCAGGGCCAGTTGGACAGGCAGAACTGCAGGGTCTCAATATGTGGATGAGATGATGGTATAGGGAGGAGGGGTTTAGATTTACTAGGAACTGGGGACACTTTGGGGGAAAGGGGGAGCTTATACAGGAAGGATGGGCTCCGCCTAAACCAAAATGGAACCAGATTGCTGGCACTTAACATTAAAAAGATGGTAGCGCAGTTTTTAAACTAAGGACTGAGGGAACGCTGACAAGTGCGGAGGAGCACGTGTTTGGACATCCCTTAGGGGAGGATCTATTAATAGAGAATCTCTGTGTCCTAGTGAGGACGAGAGGATGGAAAATGATAAAATACAGGCAGGGTCTGATCAGAAACAGTCAAATAAAAAAGAGTCCCATTCAATTTCATCGTGTAATGGAAGACAGCTAAAAGGAGACAAGTTTTTAAAGTGCTTATATAACAGTGCTAGAAGTCTAAATAATAAAATGGGTAAACTAGGGTGCCTCTTATTAAATGACGATATTGATATAATAGGCATCACAGAAACCTGGAGGAATGAAGATAATCAATGGGATACAGTAATACCAGGGTACAAAATATATCAGGACGGAAGAGGTCATGCTGGTGGGGGAATGGCACTATATGTGAAAGAAAGCGTAGAATCAAATGAAGTAAAAATTGTAAATGAATCAAACTGTACCATAGAATCTCTACGGATAGAAATTCCGTGCTCTAATAATAAGAATATAGCGGTGGGGATATATTACCAACCACCTGACCAGGATGGTGATAGTGACTGTGAAATGCTCAGGGAGATTAGAGAGGCTATTAAAATAAAAAAAAAACCAAAACACCTCAATAATAATAATGGGGGATTTCAATTATCCCCATATTGACTGGGTACATGTTACCTCAGGACAGGATGCAGAGATAAAGTTTCTTGATACCTTAAATGACTGCTTCTTGGAGCAGCTGGTCCTGGAACCCACCAGAGGAGAGGCAATTCTTGATTTAGTCCTAAGTGGAGCACAGGATCTGGTCCAAGAGGTGAATATAGCTGGACCACTTGGTAATAGTGACCACAGTATAATTAAATTTAATATCCCTGTGGCAGGAAAAATACCACAGAGGCCCAACACTGTAGCATTTAATTTCAGAAAGGGGAACTACACAAAAATGAGGTTAATTAAACCAAAATTAAAGGGTACAGTGCCAAAAGTGAAATCTCTTCAAGCTGTGTGGAAACTTTTTAAAGACTCCATAATAGAGGCTCAACTTAAATGTATACCCCAAATTAAAAAACATAGTAAGAGAACCAAAAAAGTGCCACCGTGGCTAAACAAGAAAGTAAAAGAAGCAGAGAGAGGCAAAAAGGCACCCTTTAAAAAGTGGAAGTTAAATCCTAGTGAGGAAAATAGAAAGGAGCACATACACTTGCAAATGAAGTGTAAAAATCCAATTAGGAAGGCCAAAAAAGAATTTGAGGAACAGCTAGCCAAAGACTCAAAAAAGTAATAGCAATTTTTTTTTAAGTACATCAGAAGCAGGAAGCCGGCTAAACACCCAATGGAGCCACTGGACGATCACAGTGCTAAAGGAGCACTCAAGGACAATAAGGCCATTGCAGAGAAATTAAATGAATTAGTTGCATTGTCTTCATGGCTGAGGATGTGAGGGAGTTACCAAACCTGAGCCATTCTTTTTAGGTGACAGATCTGAGGAACTGTCCCAGATTGAGGTATCATTAGAGGAGGTTTTGGAACAAATTGATAAATTAAACAGCAATAAGTCACTAGGACATGATGGTATTCACCCCAGAGTTCTGAAGGAACTCAAATGTGAAATTGCAGAACTAATAACTGTAGTCTGTAACCTATCATTTAAATGAGCTTCTGTACCAGATGACTGGAGGATAGCTAATGTGATGCCAATTTTTAAAAAGGGCTCCAGAGATGATTCCAGCAATTACAGGCCTGTAAGCCTGACTTCAGTACTGGGCAAACTGGTTGAAACTATAATAAAGAACAATATTGACAGACATATAGATTAACATAATTTGTTGAAAAAGAGTCAACATGGTTAGTAAATGGAAACCATGCCTCACCAATCTGCTAGAATTATTTGTGGACCAAGGGGATCCAGTGGATATAGTGTACTTAGATTTTCAGAAAGCCTTTGACACCAAAGGCTCTCACCCAAAGTAAGCTGCTATGAGATAAGAGGGAAGGGTGCTCTCATTGATTGCTAACCGGTTAAAAGATAGGAAACAAAGGGTAGGTATAAATGGTCAGTTTTCAAAATGGAGAGAGGTAAATAGTGGTGTCCCCCCACCAGTCCTATTCAACATATTCATAAATGATCTGGAAAAGGGGATAAACAGGGAGGTGGCAAAATTTGCAGATGATACAAAATTACTAAAGATAGTTAAGACCCAGGCAGACTGCGAAGAGCTACAAAAGGATCTCTCAAAACTGGATGACTGGGCAACAAAACGGCAGATGAAACTTAATGTTGATAAATGCAAAGTAATGCACATTGGAAAACATAATCCCAACGATACATATAAAACGATGGGGTCTAAATTAGCTGTTACCACTCAAGAAAGAGATCTTGGAGTCATTGTGGATAGTTCTCTGAAAACGTCCACTCAATGTGCAGTGGCAGTCAAAAAAGCAAACAGAATGCTGGGAATAATTAAGAAAGGGATAGATAATAGGACAGAAAATGTCATGTTGCCTCTATATAAATCCATGGTATGTCCACATCTTGAATACTGTGTGCAGATGTGGTTGCCCCATCTCAGAAAAGATATATTGGAACTGGAAAAGGTTCAGAAAAGGACAACAAAATGATTAGGGGATGGAACAGCTTCCATATGAGGAGAGATTAATAAGACTGGGACTTCTCAGCTTGGAAAAGAGATGGCTAAGGGGAATATGATTGAGGTCTATAAAATCATGACTGGTGTAGCGAAAGTAGATAAGGAAGTGTTGTTTACTACTTTTCATAACACAAGAACTAGGAGTCACCAAATGAAATTAATAGGCAGCAGGTTTTAAAACAAATAAAAGGAAATATTTCTTCACTCAAGGCACAATCAACCTGTAGAACTCCTTGCCAGTTCTTGTTTTTGTAGTTATAGTCAGAACTATAACATGGTTCAAAAAAGAACTAGATAAATTCATGGAGGATAGGTCCATCAATGGCTCTTAGCCAGGATGGGCAGGAATGGTGTCCCTGGCTTCTGTTTGCCAGAAGCTGGGAATGAGCGACAGGGGATGGATCACTTGGTGATTGCCTGTTCTGTTCATTCCCTCTGGGGCACCTGGCACTGTACACTGTTGGAGGACACGATGCTGGGCTCGATGGACCTTTGGTCTGACCCAGTAGGACCTTTCTAATGTTCTTAAATAACTTCCAGGATGAGTGTGTTTCTTGCCTGCGCTATAGTATGGAGCAGTATCATTGTACATTTATGTTGCTTTCTGCAGGTTTTTAAGGAACATTTCTGTCCATATAATAACTTAAATATATGTTTTTGGATTCTGATCTATACCCTTTGAGAAACCAGTAACTGTTTAGGAGATGTTATGACAACAGATACCTGACTTAATTCTGTCTCTCACTGCAGCTGCACTCTGAGTGTCACTCTGGAGCAGGCGATAATTCTTGCTCGGAGCCACGGACTACCTCCTCGCTATATTATGCAAGCTACAGATGTGATGCGCAAACAGGTAAGCCAGCCTTACACTTTAGAATGTTAACAGTTCTCCACAGGAATTTCATGTGTTCAGCCAAAAAAATGAATTAACTAGTCATTTTGCTCAAGAGTGGTAGTGACTTGGATAATTATAATATCCAAGAACTGGCTGTCTCCTTAAATTAGTTACAAGATAATTTGAGAATGGTCTGACTTTTTTTTAGACAAAGGAAATGCAGTAGATCTAATCTACCTGGATTTCAGTGGGATTTCATATGGGAAATTATTCGTTAAATTGGAGAAGATGGGGATTAATATGAGAATTGAAAGGTGGATAGGGATTTTGTTAAAGGGGAGACTACAATGGGTCATACTAAAAGGTGAACTGTCAGGCTGGACGGAGGTTACTAGTGGAGTTCCTCAGGGATCGGTCTTTGGACCAATCTTATTTAACATTTTTAGTACTGACCTTGGCACAAAGTGTGCTAATAAAATTTGCGGATGACACAAAGTTGGGAGGTATAGTCAATATGGAGGAGGACTGGAATATTATACAAGATCTGGATGATCTTGTAAACTGGAGTAATAGAAATGGGATAAAATTTAATAGTGCACAGTGCAAATTTAATAGTGAACATGCATTTAGGGACTAATAACAATAGAATTGTTGCTATACGCTGCGGACTTATCAGTTGAAAGAGACACAGGAGGAGAAAGACTGGGGTGCATTGGTTGATCACAGGATGACTATGAGCTGTCAATGTGATGTGGCCGTGAAAAAGGATAAAGCAGTCCTAGGGTGCATCTGGTGAGGTATTTCCAGTAGAGACAGGAAAGTGTTAGTAAAATTATACAAGGCACTGGTGAGACTTCATCTGGAATACTGTGTGCAATTCTGGTCTCCCATGTTTAAGAAATATGAATTCAAACTGGAACAGATGCAGAGAAGGGCTACTAGAATGATCCAAAGAATGGAAAATCTACCTTATTAGAGGTTACTCAAAGATCTTGGCTTATTTAGCCTAACCAAAAGAAGGCTGAGGGCAGATATGATTGAGGTCTATAAACACATCAGAGGGATAAGAACCAGGGAGGGAGAGGAGTTATTTAAGTTAAGCACCAATGTGGACCCAAGAACAAATGGATATAAACTGGCCATCAACAAGTCTAGGGTCAAAATTAGGCAAAGATTTCTAACTATCAAAGGAGTGAAGTTCTGGAACAGCCTTCCCAGGGGAGCAGTGGGGCAAAACACCTAACTGGCCTCATGACTGAGCTTGATAAGTTTTTGGAGGGGATGGTATGATGGGCTGCCTACAATGGCATGTGGCCTATCTGTGACTGCCAGTAGCAAAAATCCCCAATGGCCAGAGACAGAACACTAAATGGGGGGGGGCTCTGGGTTACTGCAGAAAATTCTTTACTTGGTGAGTCTTGCCCACATGCTCAGGATCAAACTGATGGATATATTTGAGGTCTGGAAGAAATTTTCCCATGGGTCAGACTGGCAATTGGCAGATTGGCTAAGCAGCAGTTCTGCAGAAAAGGACCTGGGAATTACAGTGGATGAGAAGCTGGATATGAGTCAACAGTGTGCCCTTCTTCCCAAGAAGGCTAACAGTATATTGGGCTGCATTATTAGGAGCATTGCCAGCAGATCGAGGGAAGTGATTATTCCCCTCTATTCGGCACTGGTGAGGCCATATCTGGAGTATTGCATCCAGTTTTGGGCCCCCCCACTACAGAAAGGATATGGACAAATGGGAGAGAGTCCAGCAGAGGGCAATGAAAATGATTAGGAGGCTGGGGCACATAACTTATGAGGAGAGGCTGAGGGAACTGGTCTTATTTAGTTTGCAGAAGAGAAGAGTGAGGGAGGATTTGATATCTGACTTCCACTACCTGAAGAAGAGTTCCAAAGAGGATGGAGCTCGGCTGTTCTCAGTGGTACCAGATGACAGAACAAGGAGCAATGGTGTCAAGTTGCAGTGGGGAAGGTCTAGGTTGGATATTGGGAAACACTATTTCACTAGGAGGGTGGTGAAGCACTGGAATGGGTTACCTAGGGAGGTGGTGGAATCCCCTTCCTTTGAGGTTTTTAAGGTCAGGCTTGACAAAACCCTGGCTGGGATGATTTAGTTGTGGTTGGTCCTGCTTAGAGCAGGGGGTTGGACTTGATGGCCTCCTGAGGTCTCTTCCATGATTCTATGATTGTCAGAGACTCTGTGGGAGTTTTGCCTTCCTCTGCAGCCTGGTTCTCAACCGGGGGGCCGCAAGCAGGTTTCAGGGGGCCAGTGTTAGACTCGCTAGAACGCAGGGCAGAAAGCCAAAGCCCTGCTGGACAGGACTGCAACATGGCCACTGAGCCCCACCACCTGGGGCTGAAGCTGAAGACTGAGCAACTTAGCTTTGCGGTGCCCCCCTGTGGCATAGACCCCCAGGCAATTGCCCTGTTTGCTACCCCCTAATGCCAGCCCTGGCTTTTATATGCAGAAAAACAGTTGTTGTGGCACAGCTGTGCCGTGGAGTTTTTATAGCATGTGGGGTGGCCCTGAGAAAGAAAAAGGTTGAGACCCCCTGCTCTGCAGCATGGGGCATGGATCACTTGCAGGTTTAAACTAGTAGAAATGGTTAATTCTCTAAAAACAACGAGGAGTCCTTGTGGCACCTTAGAGACTAATACATTTATTTGGGCATAAGCTTTCGTGGGCTAAAACCCACTTCATCAGATGCATGGAGTGGAAAATACAGTAAGCAGGAATAAATATACAGCACATGAAAAGATGGTAAACTCAAAGTCTTTAAACCATGATTTGAAGACTTCAGTAACTCGGCCACAGGTTAGGGTCCATCACAGGAGTGAGTGAGTGATGTTCTGTGGCCTACAATGTGCAGGAGGTCAGATTAGATGATCATGATGGTTAGAGCCCTATGTTGATACAAAATTTATATCCATGGATGCAGATATCCGTGGATATGAATTGGTATCTGCGGAGGGCTCTACTGGGAACCACAACGGTGAAAGCAGCAGCATGTCAGGCCACCACTCACAGGAGCCAGCGGGCAACTCCTCCGGCATGGCTGTACCGCTGTTTTTCGAATAGGCTGGAGGAAGACAAGGTAAAAGATAATCTACTGAGAGAAAGATTGGCTACAATAGTGTAGTGAGAGATGACCAAGGCCTAAAAAAGCTTTTTAATAATAGGGATGGAAGGAAATGAATACTTTTTTTGGAGGAAATAATGAGTAGATTTAGCAAGACTATAGATTTGGAGGGGCGGGGAGGGGAACAAGAATAATTATTTTAAATACACGTACTATACAAGTATCTAGTCAGATATTCATAAATGTTTTAATTACATAGTGGGTACAATATACCCTGTGCCATTTAATGTATCTTCAGAGAATCTTATTATTCAATTCAAACTGAGAAAACACAAACACAGACTAAGGGTGAAATTTATCACCGTGCAGAGTGTGGAAGGCTCTCTGAACTCTATATTAAGGATTCAGAGTAAGTGGAGTTTGAGTAGTATGAAAGACCTTGTGCAGTCATTCTGCACAGGGCTGAATTTCATCCCAAAGTAACAAGAATGTCATAATTAGTTGTTTGGGCTGTACCCCTGGAACATAGTTTTCAGTGTATTTGCCCTGTTATTTATAATTTCAAGTCCACAGATGCTTGTACTGTAAGAATTGAGGATCAGAGCCCTGTTTATTACAGTTAGTATTACAGGGATGAGCTGGAATCCACCAATGCATTCAAATTAAGTGACTTCTGCTTTTCATTATTTAATCCAGTCTACAATAATTTTAAATGTATAAATTACTGAACAATCACCTGCTTTTACACTCTTCAAGCATGAAAATCTGTGAATACAAATAATAGATTCTAACGCTTGGGCTTACTCCTGACAGAATTAGCACTCTAAAAAAACAGGTGTCTAAATGGGTTTTTGCTAATGCAAATTCTATCACCCTCACACGCTGTGTTAATACTCCAACATTGCATGTGTCCAATACACAGAGGAGAGGAGTCTGTGACAGCTTTTTGCTTGAGAGCCTGTCTCTCTAGCACAAGCTGTAAGGACTTGTGCTTTTAGCTCTGCATGGGTTTAATTCTTGGTGTTGGCAAGCTTCAGACTTGCAGGGAGGGTGTGGGGCATCCAGAGGAAGGCGGAGTGCAAAAGACAGACTTGATGCTAGAATCCAGGTATGCACCCTGCTGCTGCAGCCCCTCATGGCTGTATCCAATTTCCAGTAGTCCATGAGAGGCTATATAATGTTTCAGAAAGTGAAAGGTGACAGAGATTCCTTCACAAAGTTTCTCTCTAGCTGACAATTATGTTGTCACTGCTAAATATGGAGGGTTGCTCTTGGTGTACTTACTTTCAGTAACTTTTAAATGGGGACGAAATATTTTAGACATGAAGAATTTACTGAGATATATCATAGCCTTTCATACCCTTCAGAAGGATCATCATAGTTGAGTGGCTTCAGCGGCATGGTTTATTCCTCTGATTCCCAGGCAGGTACAGTTCCCTTTCTCCATGACTTTTGGGGCACTATTCGCTGAAATACACAAAGCTGTATTAAAAACTGGGAAATTAACAAACAAAAAACTATGTTTAATGGCAGTTAAGGTTGCATCAGGACACAACGCACCCACCCAGAACCTTAAAAGCATGGAAAAAAGTTAAGGAGAAAGACTTGTGCATTTCTTTCCACATTCGTATTGCCTGTATATACAGCTCTGTTGATAACACACTCAAACACTCCATAAAGCTTTTATTTTCATCTCCAACCACATCCCCAAAAGCAATATGTACTCTAAAGTCGTCAAGATTGAATTCTAACACAAAACCTTAACAGGGACCTCAACAATATTAATGAAGAATAACTTCCCAAATGCCTGGAATGTGTAATAAGTTAGGGGAGATGAGCTGTTGATATAACTGATCATAAAAGCGTATGAGATTATTGTTAAAATTTTTCTTATCACTACATGGTAGCCACTTTCCAAATACTCAGGAA